CAGGGTTGTGGTGGATTTCTGCTTAGTGTCTGAGTGTGTCCAGCACTGTGCTCTGGTTCCTTTGCTGAGCATTCACACTGGGGGATGGTAGGAGATGAAGGCACGAAGCACACACCAGGGGCAATTGTTTCTCAGGTCCTCTGCTGTCAGCCACACTGGAGATGCTCTCCTTTGCTTGGGGGCACCTTGAAAGCACACCACATCAGCAGGGATAGTGCTGAGCTGGCTTCAACACATCTTGTATACTCTCCCATTTCGATACTTTTGGCTGCAGCTGTCCGTCCAGTCCTTAGATGTTCTGCCCTCGTGCCTGACTAGGTTTCTCTGTGTGCAATAGTTTTGCACAGGTGAGCCAAGACCACATAATCATTATATACTACCATAATAGTTTCTCTGGCTCGAGAATTTGAGAGTAGCCTACCTGGGTGGGTCTGGTTCAGGAACACACCTGAGATTAGTCATGAGCTGCATTCTGACCTGAAGCCTTGGCCACAGGCGGTCAGCCTCCGAGGTATACAGATGCCACTGCTATTGAGAGGCGGCCTCTGAGCCTTTCCATGTGGATCTCTCTATAGGACTTTTGAATACGATACTACGCAAAGAAACTGATGAAGGGAGGGGAGAGCTATGTGACCATCATTGCCATCTTCTACATAAGGAGAGAGGGGCCGTAGCAATGACTTTATGACCAGCTCCAGACACTGCACACTGTCAGCTCTGTATGTCCCATGGGGCCCATCCTGGCTTGCTCTGTGGAGGGTCTTTGTTCATTGGTGAAGGTTGGATCCCCGGCTGCCCTGCCCATTCTATGAGGGCCGGGATTTGTATACATGAAAATTCATTTCTTAGACACTAATATGTTCAGGTTACCATCAGGGGGAAGGGGAAGGAGAAAGGAAAGGGAAAGTGGGGAGGGGGATGCGTTTCTGTCTTGGAAGACTTAGACTTTTACAGCCTGGTCTGGGATTTGACACTGTTGTTACTTCAGACACATCCTTCTCTCTAGAAGTCATGCCTTTGTAGATTTAGCCCATACTCAGGATGGTATAAAACTTAAGAAAGTGGAGTTGGGTAGGGTTGGTGGGGGTGTCCATTGAATATCATGCAGCTATTTACTGTAAATTGTAATATTCCTACCTCAAGGGAGGCTCCTCACAACCGAGAAAGTGAAGGAAACTCACAGGGCTCAGGACTTAAATAAAACTCACAAGCTGGGGTTGGAGACAGACTGGCTTAGTAGTTAAGAATACTTCTTGCCCTTGTAGAGGATTGTATTAGTTAGGGTTTTACTGCTGTGAACACACACCATGACCAAGGCAACTCTTATAAAAACAACATTTAGTTGGGGCTGGCTTACAGGTTCAGAGCTTCAGTTCAGTATCATCAAGGCGGGAGCATGACAGTGTCTAGGCAGGCATGGTGTAGCTGAGAGTTCTAAATCTTCATCTGAAGGCTGCTAGCAGAATACTGACTTCCAGGCAGCTAGGATGTGGGTCTTAAAGCCCATATCCACAGTGACACACCTATTCCATCAGGGCCACACCTTCTAATAGTACCACTCCCTGAGCCAAGTATATACAAACCATCACAAGATCCTAGGACATACAGTGGCTCATACACATCTGTGACTCTAATTCAGGGAATCTGATACTCTTTTCTGATCTCCACAGGCACCAGGCACAAACATAGTATTTTTACATACATCCAGTCAAAACACTTATACACATAAACTGAAATTGAAAAAAAGAAACATTCACAATTCTCAGGAAGCTCCTGAAACTTACAGGATATAGAATCATGCCCCATCCCCACACCAAGCAGTATTAACTCCTGGGGAGACGAGACTCTACAACTGGATGGAGCTGCCTGCAAGTCATATAGGGGACTCCAGAAATGCAGCTTCCATAGGTCGCCTCCAGTGATGTAGCTGCATTTGAGTCTCTTATGTCCCTGTGAGAAGCCCTTCATTCATGCTCTGTAAGTAACCCCAATAAACTCACTGGATCACTAAGACTTGAGTGAAGTTGTTTTTTTTGTCTGTCATTAATACCAGGTATCAGATTTTTGTTCCCATTTCCCCAGGAAGTGCCACACAGCACTGGGCACTCTTAGGGTCTGCCTGCTTTCCTTGGCTTTGCATTTCAGTCATGCTGGGTGAGGTGGCTAACACGTGCAGAATGGAAGGCTTATAAGACAATCAGAGGAAGTAGAGGTTCTCAGAATTGTTTAGCCACAGGAACATGATCCAGGAAGTCCCTAGCCTCTCACACGGGCCCCAAAATGATGGTGGTGGATATGCCTAAGCACTAAGTCCGTGCTCCTTCTAGGGGCCGTGAAGTCTGAAGACTGCTAGAAGAGAATTGTCTTCTAGCAGGTGCCTTCACAGTGGGGCAGGTGACAGGTTGTTAATGTGAAAAGTAGACCTTTGTCAGCACTGGATCCACCAGTGAGTGGGTCATATCCTCCAGGCAGGGCTGTATAGCTACTGGGAGGAGTCTTCCCAAGGATCCCTGTTCATCCCATGCAGGCAGCTGAAGCTTTGCCTCCTGGGAAGTGGGAGACCATAGAGGGACACTGTGACTTTTCTCAGGTGCTGTAGAAATCCTTGTATCTTGCTAGGATGGAACTGAGAGTGTGGATATGTTATGGGGCTTCAGGAGCAGCCTGTCCACCTGGGGCCACTCCTCTGGGATGACTACTTCACCTGCTTTTTTCTCTTTCCCTCCCTACAGACTGAGGAGGATGAAAACTGTGGTTGAGCTCATGGCCACTGGCTACCTGTGGCCACTAACAGGAGACAGAGGACTTGGATTAATTCCCTTTAACTTTAACTGAACTATATTTAATTTCAGATAGATATTCCATTTTAAATGCCCAGTGGCTATCCCGCTGAGTGGCTCTGTCTCCAGCCAGCAGATGCTGCAGTGTCTTGGAGCTTACTGCATAGGAACCCATCACCTGAATGCACATTTGGTTGTAGGATCAGCTCTGGTGTGCACTATGGAGCCCTGGTGGCCTTGAGGATTCTTCTGTGGCTTTCTGCAGGCCAGAGCTCAGGCTTAGTGAAGCTAGCTGCTAGCTGGGTGAGATGGTCAATATTGACCAAAAAAAAAAAAAAAAAAAAAAAGTTACCTCATGAGTATGTTTGTAAAGGCATTGCCAGGGAAGGCTGACGAAGGGGGAGACCCATCCTGAATCTGGGGGACACCATCTCTTGGGATGAGGTCCTAGATGGAATAAAAGGGAAGCAGACCTGCGGGTACAGGCATGTTCTCCCTGCTGTGCTCCACGGTGCATAAAGAACTCGCTTCTGAAGCTCTGACACAGTGCAAATCTTTTTTTCTCTTGTTTATCCCAATATTTGGTCACAGCAACCTGAAGCTGACTAACACAGCGGCGGGGCGGGATAGGGGGAAGGCCCTAGAACACACGTACCTGGAGAATAAAGTCACATTAGTTTATTATGGCTGGATGCTGCGGCTTGTGTTCTTAATGAATTCCACCTGGAAAGGGAGACCGAGGAGGAGCACGTGGAGCCTTCACACCATCCGGAGAACTGAGTGCAGAGAAGTGGGCTGAGTGTGTGCAGGTTCCGCAGGGACACTGGGCCAGACTTTGACATGCGCTTTTGTTTCTTCAAACACAGTAATCCTCGGGATGCTTTTGTTCTCTTTGCCAACTTGACAGTCTACAATCACCTGGGGAGCTAGTGATTTTCACTGAAGGAATGTTTACAACAGAATGCCCCCTGGGCATGTCTGTGGGGGGGATTGTTTGGTCACTTTAATTGTTGTGGGGAAACTGACCCTAAGTGGGAAGCACCTGCTGATAGCTGCCCAGATAAGGACATGGAGAAAGGAGAGTCTTGTACTTCTCCTGGCTGGGCCTTCACTCCTATGGGTAAATTCATCTGCCCTTTTATTGCTGCTGCTGCTGCTGCTGCTGCTGCTGCTGCTGCTGCTGCTTGCTGTCACTGATAGCTGAACTAGTTTCTTCTGGCATCCAACTTTCCAGGAACCCTCCAGGCTTTTGGGGCCAGATAGAGACCGCTGAGTCCCTACCATGAACTGAGTAACTACCAGATTCTCAGCTTCTCTGGTGTGAGACAGCCATTGTTGAACTACTCAGATCATATTGTGTCAGCCAATCTAATTTAATTTATATTAATTTCATTGGCATTGGTCCACTAAAGAACCTTGACAAATACAGGTTGGGTGCAGGTGTGGGAAAGGGTAGGCTGGCCCCTGGAAAGGGAGTCAAGGACGGGAAGGAAGGGTCTGGGATGAAATATTCTGGGACAGAGCTGGCTCCTGAGGCTTCAGTTCTTGTGTCTCTGCATCTGGGTTTCTCATCTGCAGGGTGTGGAGGTTGGAGGAGGCCTCTGCTCTCGGGCATTCCACCTGCCTGCTGTATCCCCGAGCAGCCACCCAGCTATCTTCCTCTCTGGATGGGGCTCTGGGTGGGGGTGGGGTGCACTAAGCTGGGCTGTGAAGCATGACAGAACATTACATGGATGGATATTCTTCTCAAATTATTGCAGTTCTATACATTGCAGTAAATTTTGTGTACATATGCATTTCCTTGAGCATTGGGTCCTTGGTTCCTTACAAATTCTCTCAACAACCCTTGTGTTTTCTAGGATGTCAGAGGCCATTGCAGAGCGTATCTGCATTTGCTGAATAGATAAACAGATGTCTTGAAGAGACACGATGTAAATTCAAGGCCACAGCTGAGTGAGACCATGGGACAGTGAGGGTTTCAGCTCTCAGGGAGGGAGTAGGGTAGGACTGGCTTAAGTCCCTGGGATCAATAGTATTACATATGCAGTAGGGAACAGGCCCGTTCCAGTCATCATCCCTTGGTCTTTCCAGGGACAAGCTGTTCCCTCAGCCCTATTTCATATAGCCCTTGTGACATCACAAAGGAAGGTTCTCTCTGTCCTCTACAAATTCTAATGTTGCTGATGTTAACAGTTCAAAGCACTGGACTGTGGGGAGTGAGAAATTCAATCCTGAACACTGGGATCTGGACTCTAGGGTGAGATTGGAGATCTGTTTATCATGTTAAATAATTTGTTATGTCTAATGTTGGTGTTGCCTAGGGAATGAGATGGGAGAGGGAGGATGAAGTCCAGTTTTCAAGAACACCAGCTCCTTGGTTGGGGGGAAATATGGAGGTGGTCCTAGGCGCTATTATCAGTATGGAGTTCTAGGGCCCAGCTGAGAAGGGTTGAGGGAGGCTTCATATTCTGGCTCTGATCTTTCTTTACTGGAGTTTAAGCCATATGACGTTTGCCTTTTAAAACATCTAAACATGGGCAGGCCTGGTGGTGTACATCTTTAGTTCCAGCACTCAGGGGGCAGAGGCAGGCAGATCTCTGAGTTCACAGCCAGCCAGTCTCCAAAGTAAGTTTTAGGCCAGTCAAGGCTACGCAGAGGGACTCTGTCTCAAACAACATCCACCACCACCACCACCACCACCACCACCACCACCACCACCACCACCTCAACACTGAGCACAGAGTGAAATAAGCTGGATGCTATGGTTTAAACAGAAACACCCTCACCCCCACCCCATGCAGTCCTGAATCTGAATGTTTGTCTCAGCTGGCCATACTGTTTTAGGAGGTTGTATAACCTTGGGATCTAGGTGGCTGCAGGGTTTTGATGAATTCAAAGAGGCACAGCAGAGGCAATCACTCACTATGTAGTGCAGACTGGCCTTGAACTCATGATCCTGTTGCCTCAGCTTGCCGAGTGCTGGGGTCACAGGTGCACACTACCTATACCTATGAGACCCTGCTGGTCTGTGGCCAGGACTCTCCTCTGTTGTCTGTGTCTCCTCAGGCTCTGTCTTAGCTCTCTCAAGCTTTGTCTCAAATGAGCAATGCCCTTCTTCAGGTTCATCCCAAAGTTCTTCTGGCAAAGCTTCTCTAGAACCTAACAGTAACCCCTCTGCCCCGATTTCTTTTTTTAACATGGGATGATTCTAAGACCAGGATAGCCTCCTCTACTTGTGGGGGACTGTCCTTCCCCAGCTTTCTAGACTCAGATGTAGCATCCTCTGGCTGTGACCCTTCCCTCAGCAGAGAAACTGCCTTAGTTACTGGCCTGTGTCTTACTCTTGATGGCTGGGAGTGTACATTAGCAGCAACCAGGACCAACTTCATCGTACTGCTGGTCTTAGGGGTGGTTGCTGCCTGGTTTTAGTAGCAGCATGGTGTTTAAACAGATGTCAGGGAGGGTCACAGTAGACAGCCATTTGGGCTTTCCTGAGAGAGGGGGAAGGGAGGAGGGTGGAAATTTGGAAGGAATAGAGGAACTATAGATGTCTCCCTCTCTCTCAGACCTTAGGAAATGATCCCTTTATCCTCCCCACAGTATCTTCTCTTGTCTCCTCCTCCTCACTGAATGACTTTTCCACAAGTCTCCCTCTTATTTTTATGTCTTTTTAAATGGCTGATAAATTCAATAAATTACTGTTGGCATGAACACTTGTGTGCATGAACACTTGTGTGCATGTGTGTGTGTGTGTATTTGTGTGTGTATGTATATGTGAGCACGTATATGTATGTGTGTGAGTGGGCATGTGTATGTATGAATATGTGTGTGTATACACGCATATGTGTAAAAGCGTGTGTGTCTTTCTGTGTGAATGTGCATGTGTGAGTGTGTGTGTATATTTGAGTGAGCATGTGTATGTGTGTGGGTGTATGTGTGTGAGAATGTGTACGTGCATGTATGTGTGTCTCTGTGTAAGTGTGTGTGTGTGTATTATTTTCTTGAGCATGAGAAACATCAGTGGCTACACTGAGGAGTATGACTCCCCCTCCTCTGACACTCTACCAACCATTATAACATGACTAACTCCTTGGGGCATGCATGGGTGGGTGACCTGGGGCTATTCTTCAGTGACAGGTCGAGAGAGAGAGAGAGAGAGAGAGAGAGAGAGAGAGAGAGAGAGAGAGAGAGAGAGAAAGAACCAGGAGACCAGATCAGGACACCTTTCCAGGGGAGAAATGGGGCAGAGTCTTCGGAAACTGTCACACAGTGGGGCCATGGGGCAGAGTCTGCAGAAACTGTCACACAGTGGGGTCAAGTCAGCAGGAAGATAATCAAGCATCGTTGCACAAGGGAAACATGGTTTATCTCTAGAACATTACAGAGAGAGTACAGCAGCCTTGGGACTGATATCATAGTCCCATACTATGAGAAGAGTTGGGTTCTCAGGGTCTGAAGTCACAGCTTCCCCAAAGCCCTGGCTCCAGGCTACTCCTGGCTGTGTTTCTTCTTTATACGTCAGGGCCTCAGGGAAAGCCTTGGACAGCCCAGTTTTCAACAGGTGGGGTCCAGGCCTAGAAGGGCCTCAGTGCTCCTAAGACAAACATGGAAGACAGGACTTTTTGACTAAGGGAGCTGACAAGGTTTGGAACTCTCCCCACATCCTGAAGCTCTGCATGTTTGCAGATCTTTATTTTGGTAACAACTTTTCTTGGTTGGGAAGTCTGAGTATTAACTTTGAGGGTTTTTTTTTTTTTAAATTCCCAGTGTCTTTTAAATATTTTTCATTTCCTTTTAGCATTCTATATAGACAGAAGTAAAAGAAAATGAAAAAATGAGAAAATCTTAAAAAAGAAAATTTTTCTTAAAAAGGAAAATGAGAAAATGTAATGTAGTAACACCTGTATTTCCCCCCTCCCCCCAACAGGGTTTCTCTGTGTAGCTCTGGCTGTCCTAGAACTCTCTTTGTAGACCAGGCTAGCTTTGAACTCAAGAAATTCACCTGCCTCTGCCTCTTGAGTGCTGGGATTAAAGGCATGTGCCACTTTTTTTTTTTTTAAAGATTTATTTATTTTACATGTGTGAGTACACTGTAGCTGTCCTCAGACACACTAGAAGAGGGCATTGGATCCCATTACAGATGGTTGTGAGCCACCATGTGGTTGCTGGGAATCTGAACTCAGGACCTTTGGAAGAGCAGTCAGTGCTCTTAACCACTGAGCCATCTCTCCAGCCCATGTGCCACCTTTTTGGGTGGCAATTATACTCCATCTGTGGTCGTGGCTTGGGGTGAGGGAGGCTCGTGACTTTATGGTGCATTTTCTTCTCTAGTTTTGGGTAACACGTTACTCTTTGAAAGAAAGAAAAAAAAAAAGGATGGGTATATGCAACATTCAAAGTGGACTGCATTCTTCATTCTCATAAAGAGCCCCAGGGCTCAGATGACTGGGCTCACCTTGAGTTCAGGGTCCCTGGAGGATCCAGGAATGCTTCGGTGAGCAGCACCACCTGGTGGCCTGGCCGGGAGAGGACTCCTGGCAAATGCTTTTCAGAATATGTGTGCCTTGGGTTCCCTCAGGCCAGGGACATTCCTCACAGTCTAATACCAGAAGTTCAGAAGCTCCCCTTGTTCTCTAGTGATAAGACACCAGGCTCTGCCACCTGAGAAAGCATGCAGTGGGCATCTCACCTTTTGGGGCCTCAGTTTTCCCACCTGTACAATGACCGTGTGTGTGTGTGTATGTGTTTGTGTGTGTCTGTACCAGTGACTATTCATACAACTGAAGAAAATGTTTCTCACCATCCCAGAAACAATTAACTACCTAGTAGAACCCCAGAGAAGGGTAGGGCCTCACAATCCATCCGCATTCCATGGCAGATGGTGATGGACCCATTCCCTGAGTTTGTGAGTTTGTAAGTGCAAGGTCTGCACCAGAAGCAGTCCCTCATCCCTCCTTTCTCTGACTCTTAAATTCTTCCCTTCTCTTTCATGATGTACCCCTGAGCCTTGGAGGTGGTGACATTTTTGGCTGTGCACTCAACAGGTCACTTGTCTCAGACCAGTTATGAGCCTGCAGTAACTATCACTCACTGCAAAAGAAGCTTTTTGGCCAAAGCTGAAGGCAGCGTTAATCTGTAGACATAATGTTTCAGAAGGCAATTTGATGGACATATCTTATTCATGAGCAAAACAACAATAGCTTTCCTCCAGGGCCTGTGGCCTCCCTAGCCTTGGGCTTTTGACAGGTGTAGAATACCAGATACCAGTTCAGTCCCACGAGCATCAAATACAATAGAAAAGCAGATGATGTCCCTGTAACACTCATGCCACGATTGCCCAAGTGGCCCACCCTGTGGATTCTGAGTGTGTGTGTGTGCGTGCCCGTGTGCACCCTTGGGATCTGAGGCTTTACAAGCCCAGAGGTGAACTGAAGAGACACTCCAAGTGGGAAATTCAGCAGCGTCAGCTGACACACAAGTTCACCTTACCCTGATGCCAGCATGGTGTGCTAAGGACAGGCAGGGACTGCTGTGGCTTTCTCTGTATTGTATGGACTATCATGTTGAGCTTAGCTTAGAAAGACTCCATTAAATAAGCAATAACCTGGGCAACTCCGTTTTGAATATAAGTGCCAACCAGGACTGACGGTACACCTTACCTAAGTTAGCAGCCACCATCTGCCAGAGCACCAGGAAGCACGAAAAACTGATAAATGACTCTTTTGTGTCAATAAATAAACCTGAAAATATTCAAATCATATCATAAACACAGACACGTGAGCTTATCAGTCACACCAGATGGAACCCCCTCATGTGGGGCTGTAAAGAGGGATCACCCTGACACCAGAGTGTGGCAGGCTTGCTGGTTTGTTACTTGTATTATCTGGGAAAATTGCCACAGTGCAAGTCTCCAGCTTCTGGCACGGGCTCTGGTGCAAGTGTCAGTTCTTAACCTGTTTCAAACTGCCATCTTACTCTAGTAATTGTATAAATGCCTCTCATAGTGTAGTTGGATAAGAGGCTGGGGCTTCTTCTTCTTCTTCTTCTTCTTCTTCTTCTTCTTCTTCTTCTTCTTCTTCTTCTTCTTCTTCTTCTTCTTC